GCGTTAACACGTTGGATCAGCCTGTGAACCCAACATTATTTTTTCTCGTTTCTAAGAAATATGTGCTAGTGTTTCCAATGTGCATGTTGCAGAGGGTTACCTATTTTCTGGCAGTAGCAGGAATAGTTGTAAGAAGTACAAGATTGGGAAGATTATCATTCAGACAATACCTGCATGCAACACTAGACTTTCAGCTAGGAAATCCGAACAGATGAAAAATTTCTAGGGGATAAAAATATGCCTATATCTACCGTTTAAATACTAAAATACGTTTAACAATGCTATGTTTAAGTGGTTTTGAACTATCTTCTCGTTGGGTGCCCATGAAAGATGTTTTAGTATGCAAGAAAATGGCTCCCTTTGCCATGAACGCATCAAATATTGAACGATTTGCTGCCTTAACAACACAAAGGCAGAAAGACCGCTTTGAAGTAAACAAGAACTTAACCGAACAATGGTTTTGGCATTTACGGCGATTGGAAAAAAAGCAAGATAAACGAGTGTTGTTTGCACGCGATGGTATGCTGTACAAAGAATTTTACAAGGTCCAGAAACGGACCCGATTTTGCAGGGGCAAAGAAATTTACAAACACAGTGTTTCATCGCAATTATTTTATTCACCTCAAAGAGTATATCATTGTACACAAGAAATAATAATAATGACTAAAGAAATGGCTAATGGTTACATCATCACTTAATGTGTAGTCTACCAAATCGTCTCTGTAAGTTAGGTCTTGTTCGTAGGTAGGTCCTTTTTCAGATGATACAAATAACACATTTTGTTGTAATCTTCGCTTGAACAAATCGTTCATTTTCAATAAGGCTCAGGATAATCGTAGATATTGCGTACACCAATAATGACAGTTCTGCTGATCAACGTGGGGTTCATAATCTGTTCCTCCGTCATTTCCTCACACCATACTTTTTGAAATGCAATCCGTTGTAGCTGTAGTTTGTTGGAAAACGGACCACCATAAGAGAATTATTTCTCAGCCATACTTGTCTTTGGACAAACACGCCGCGGGTTGATTATGCAAAAATCTTCAACTTAAGACCAGGTATTGTGTAAAAAAAATGCAATTAAGAATTAGCCGTTTAGCTTTTGTCTTTTTTTAAAAATGAGCGATTAATTATAAGACATTGAGTTCCCACTTCGAAAAAAGTCAAGGAATGTTGTTTCACAATTATCTAGAACATGTTGTATTTCTTTGCAAAATTGTAATTCTCTGTCTATCAACAAACCTATGAAATACCTGTGGCAAAAACAACAAGACGATTCAGAAGAAGAGGGCTCTTTTAACCCTGATTGGATAGTGAACAATCTATTATGTGTTCAACAGACAAACGCGCTCTCCGTTCAATCATGATTTCATTCTCTAAAGTTCAGTTTGCTCGGAAAAAAGTCTTAACTCTCAACAATATTCTTTGGAACATTGTCCAGCGTCAAAGGATAGCCAGTTTTATTGGACATGTATTCTAACTGACTTATGCGGCTTTGGTTGACAAACTCATCCAACAAGAAAAGCTGAATCACTGCGACGGTTGTGCTATTCAACACCCAAGTCAAAACCAACATTCTTGCCTCATGATGGATAATGATGACGCATGGAAGTATTACCACGATGAAGTGGTGGAACAAATTGACCTGAATTCTATGTTGAACGCTACCGAAAGTATATGCAGTGCTCCCGGCTTCAAACTAGATAAATCATGGGAAGCGTACTGCCAAATATTGTCGTGGACCAGTATTTACCTCGCTTCTCTGGAACTTGATGTTGTCCAGCAGGGTGATGATCTTCAAAGCCGTATTTTATACGCTCTATACTACCGACCAAATGGGCTCAAATGGAAAGATTTCAGTGATCAACAAGAAACAATAGAATGCCTTGATAGAGTCGTGAGAAAAGAAGAACACCAATGGACCTTGACATGATAATTAATGACATTCAAAATAAGCTTTGTTTCTAAAAGTAATAAAATTTCTTCATGATGACTAAAATTTTGAGTCGGTGTGTGTTTGTCTCTGTCTTTGTCAAGATGGGGCTTTCTCTGTCTTTGCTTCGGGTCGACTTTTCTCTGTATCGCATTGTATATAAAGAGTTTTCCTTTATGTGTAAAAAAATGTCATTTGTTCATAGTTTGTAAATAAATATGGTTTAATATACTACACGGTTTGTTGTCTGTCTAGCCGCGCGCGCGTGTGTGCGCCACGCGCGATTGAATCACCCGCGTAAAGGAAAAATACAGTGATATAAAAGGCCCTTGTGGCCCCTGTGGCCCGTTCTCAATAGTCATAAACTTCGTGTCAACCAATGGACCTTGACATGATAATTAATGACATTCAAAATAAGCTTTGTTTCTAAAAGTAATAAAATTTCTTCATGACTAAATTGTGAGTCAGTGTGTGTTTGTCTCTGTCTTAGTCAAGATGGGGCTTTCTCTGTCTTTGCTTCGAATCGACTTTTTACTGTATCGCGCACAAGCCAAAACATTGAAAGTGTCTTCAAGTGAAATGGAAATGCTTCAACAAAAATTTAAAGATCTGCCGGGTTCGAGTCTAGAAAGGTTGAAAAAACTCCACTCTGAGGTCTTTTCAAAAGTAAACTGGGGACGATTGGTGGTATTTTTGAACTTCGCGGATCAGCTAGAATTAACCGAGGAGGAATGGGAACAACTATTTCACCTTCTTGTTCCCACTCTCACCCAGATTCGACAGTAGCTATATAAAGGAGCACCAGAGAGAGAGAAGTCATTACATCTTTTACCGTTCAGGTAAACACTAGTGATGGGTTGCTGTCCGCCATCATCCACTTTTGGTTTTGAACACATGTTCAGTCGCATACGTTGTGTATTAGCTTGCTGCGGTGGTAAAGTGGTTGTACAAAACTCGGAATTTTGTGATGGAGAAAAAACTAGCCAGCATCTACCTCGACCCAAGTCAACCCGCAAGTTTCGGTGGTTTAGATGCTGTTTACAGAGCAGTCAAAGAGAAAGGAAAGAACAAGATATCGCGTAAACAAGTCCGAGATTGGTTGAGTCAGCAAGATGTTTATACTCTTCACAAACCCGCGCGAAGACGCTACGCTAAGTCGAGTCATCGTTTTTGGAATAGATGAGCAATTTCAAGCGGATTTGGTCGACCTCCAAAATCTCAGTCGCTACAACAAGGGCTATAAATACTTACTGACTTGTATAGATATCTTCAGCAAGTACGCGTTTGTGTTACCGTTGAAGACAAAACAAGGTCAGGAACTTGTCAAAGCCTTTCAAAAGATCCTTTCTACTGGTCGCAAACCCATCAAACTGCAAACAGATCAAGGAACAGAGTTCAAGAATCTCGTGTTCCAGAAATTTCTGCGTGAGAACAACATTGCCTTTTTCACTGTTAACTCTGGGCTCAAAGCCTCAGTGGTTGAGCGTTTTAACCGAACATTTAAGAATAAGATGTACAAATATTTCACGGCCAAAAACACTCTCACCTATATCAATGTATTACCCCAGTTAGTGTCTTCTTACAATAATACTTACCACCGAAGTATTAAAATGAAACCGAGTCAGGTGACTAAAGCGAATGAAGCTAAAGTGTGGGAAACTTTGTATGGGGATAATGTTCAAAAGCCTGTGCGATATAAATTTCAAGTGGGAGATCGCGTCAGGATTAGCAAAGTGAAGAGAATGTTTGAAAAATCTTACTTACCTAATTTTACGGAAGAAATTTTTACTGTTTACAAGCGAATGGCTCGTCAAGTACCCGTTTATAAACTAAAAGATGATGTACTTAGATGGAACATTTTATGAACCCGAATTACAGAAAATTATTAAGAACGATGATGTGTACCGCGTCGAGAAGATTTTGCGGAAGAGAAAGCGTAAAGGCGTAGTAGAGTATCTGGTGAGATGGAAAGGATACAAAGATCCAAAATTTGATTCTTGGGTTCAAGAAAGAGATATTTTGAAATTGTAATTTATGCATTTTTTGTGTAGTGAATAAAAGAAAATGAAATAATAAAATGGATGATGTGTGGTTTCTAATAAATTAAGAATACCCAGATTAAAAAGTTCATTTCAACACAGGGTAGGATGGAGGTAAAACAGTTTTATCTGCATCTCCCTAGCAATAGCAGCCTCGATAAGTTTCCCAGCAACACATTAACTGAGTACCAAGTTGGTTTACCTCAGACCGTTAGCTTGACGGGGGACTGGGAAGTAGCGTTAACGGAAATTCACTATCCTCACAGCTGGAATAATGTCCAAGAAAATTTTGGTAATCGATTCTACCTTCGGAACCAAGAATTGTCCGGAGTATGGGAAGCCCTAATTGTACCACCAGGTCATTATTCTTCCATTGGAGATATCTTATCAAAGATGAAAGGGCTGATCGAGAATGTAAAGCGTTTCAATGACGACGTGACATTTTCCTACGATGCGTTCACTAGAAAGGTGACTGTTCACCTACAAAATAACGTAGAACTTTTCTTTGGTAACATTGGATACCTGCTGGGATTTTCACCAGACGAAATTATTTCTAATACCTCTACCGCCGAAAGACAAGTGGATTTGGAATACGGCTTTCACGACCTTTTCATTTACTGTGATCTTATTCAGTCACAATATGTTGGAGATGCATTGGTACCTTTGCTTCGAATTGTTCCTGTAGAAGGAAAGGTTGGGGAGCGAGTCAGTAAATCATTTTTGCGCCCCCAATATTTACCTGTCAGCAGAAAGCAATTTGAAACTGTCGAAGTCAATATAAAGACAGACACAGGGGAGTCTGTACCATTTGAGTTTGGGAGAGTGTTGTTAACACTTCATTTTCGTCAAAGTGCACCTCAGTACTTTTAAAGATGAAAAAACTCCACACTCCAAATCACAAGTTGTACGAACAGTACTATGTTAATCAAGCCAAACAAAAAGGTGGGAGTTTACCAGCGTTTCACGGTGCTCGATTTCAGCATGGTTATGGACTAGGGTCCATATTCAGAGGTCTGTTTCGCTGGGCGATGCCTCACCTTCAACAGGGTGCTAAGGTGATTGGAAAAAAGGCTTTACAAACAGGTGTCAATGTCGTCCAAGATGTTCTTGATGGAGATAACATTAAAACAGCAGTCCACAAGCGCACGAAACAAGCCCTCGGTCTACCTTCTCAGAATTCATTGCAGACACAATCAGGAGCTGGCAAAAAAGCTATAAAAAGAAAAGGGCAAGGAACCAAAATCAGTTCGCCTCAAGGCAAGAAAGCAAAAACATCTCCGCAGCAAAAGAAGCCCAAAGAGAACTTTTCTTTCTGGAAGTAACTATGGCCTTTGTGCATCACGAGTCTCAGGAATGTACGAAATCGGAGTTGGATCTCTTTACGATTCCTGCAACACAAACCTCTATCTCCAAAGGGCAATGGATCGAGTACCACCCCATCAGTAACATCACGGACAGTGGTCCGATCGAATTTTATGTTTCGGGAACCGGAGATGAGTATTTGGACTTGGCACGCACTCAGTTATTTGTTAAAGCCAAGATCACAAAAGCAAATGGAACCGCCATAGACGCCGATACACAAGTAGGTCCCGTGAACCTGTTTTTACATTCCATGTTTTCCCAAGTGGACGTTTCCTTGAACGAGCGATTGATCTCTCCATCCACCAATACCTATCCTTATCGCGCCATGATCGAAACCTTGCTAAACTACGGAGAAGAAGCAAAAACAAGTCAACTTTCTATGGCCATGTGTTACAAAGATACCCCTGGAAAAATGGATGTTGCCAACCCTGTGGCTGCAGACGATGCTGCAAACAAGGGGTTAAAGGTTCGCTATGATTTCACTAAAGAAAGTCATATTGTGGATATGATGGGGCCCATTCATAGCGACATTTTCTTTCAAGACCGGTTGATGCTAAATGGAGTGAATTTAAGAATCAAACTGAACCGAGCCAAGAACTCGTTTTCTCTAATGTCATCAGCAGCCGCTCCAACTTTCAAGGTGGTAATCACAGAAGCCATATTGTTCGTTCGCCGGGTGAAATTGGCCTCCTCTATTATACTTGGCCATGCGGCTGCACTAAAACACTCCAGCGCCAAGTACCCGGTTCGCCGAATCGATTGTAAAGTGCTGTCTATTCCAAGAGGATTTAGCAGTTTTAACCCCGACAACATCTTTTTGGGTCACATTCCTAAGCGAATCGTGCTGGTCTTATGGATACTCAGGCATATAATGGAACTTACAGTACCAACCCGTTCAACTTCAAACACCACAATCTAACTCAAGTGGGTGTCTATGTGGATGGAGAGCAAATTCCTCGGAAACCCCTGTTCTTGAATTTTGACGAAGCTAGAGGTCAAAATGTAATAGCGGGCTATCAAAGCCTGTTCTCAGGCACTGGAAAGCTATCCCAAGATGCGAGTAATCAAATCAGTAGAAGCGATTATGGCTCTGGTTGCACAGCATTCTGCTTTGACTTGTCCCCAGACCACTGCTCAGGTGACCATTTTGAGCTAATAAAGCAAGGTAACCTGCGCGCTGAGCTTCATTTCAAGGAACCACTGGCCAATACGGTTAACCTTATCGTGTACGCTGAATTCCAAAACGTGATTGAAATTGACGGGAACCGCAACGTGTTGTTCGACTACACAAACTAAAAATGGACACTATTCAACTGACCCTTATTTTGAGAAAAGATAAATTTACACGAGGTTTGTTTCTAGGCGTGTATCCCTCAGACCAGCTGCCTGCAAGTGTTTCACATTACCCAGCCCTGTTTATCGCCAATGTGGATACGAGTGACAAGCCAGGTTCGCATTGGGTGGCGTTTTATTTCACCAAGGAGCAAGAGGGAGAATTTTTCGATTCTTACGGATCACCACCCAGCAAATATTCAGGAACATTTGCTGCCTTTTTAAACAACAATTCTAACCAGTGGACTTTTAATACTGTGACATTACAAAGCATCTATTCAAAAGTCTGCGGACATTACTGTTTGTATTTTGCTTTATATCGTAGTCGGCATATAAGTATGAGTGCTATTGTCCATCGTTTTTCTAAAAACACAAGTAAAAATGATAGTCTCGTAAAACGATTTATTGAAAAACAATAGGTTTTCCGAAATATCGTACTGATGTAAACAAGCAAAGAGCAAAAGCACGACACTAAGTTCAGTAAACAGACACCATGTAATTTCTTTTCAACACATTTTATTGAATTACAAAATAAAGTTTTGTGTTTCACAATAAAAAAAAGTCTCTTGTCATGATTTATAATCGTAACCATCGAACAGCCTGAGGGCGAGGACTCTCGACTCTGCGCCTCTGCTTTTTGACAGAAGATAACGTCACAGGTGGGGTGGGTAGCCAACGCGAAGGACGTTCTGGGGTCTCCTCTCTCACTCTTGCTTTAAACTCTCTTATGGCACTCTGACGTTGGGGATTACGAACCAAGTTTTCGGGGACATTCATTCGCGTCAGGCCCCTCGCAAACACGGACCATCCCACTGGTTCAAATCCTTTTCGGTGACGCATTGTGTCATTGACTAGGTCGACCACATGAGAACCTGGGATTGGTTTGTTTTCATACAACAGCTCTCCTTTATCATTCCAGTGCAACACATCCTGGTGTTTTTTAATTTTATCCAACAACTGTCTAGCCCCAGCTTTGTAAATTTTGGGTACACTTTTCATGACCTCTTCCTCTACTGCTGTTGGAAGAGAATTATCTGGAGAAGCTTCCTCTGTAGATTCTGCGTTCTCAGCTGGTTTGGGGGTTTCTGTTGTTTTAGGGGCCGTTAACTTCACATGGAGAGGTTGGCCTTTCCGCTGATCGTAATAAGTCAAGTACCGTTGCAACACCTGATTGTAAAGCTTCGCCTTTTCCTCATCACCGAGTTGTTTACTTTCTAAAATATCCCCGATTTGGCTATCCAGATTTTTCAGAGTTTGTGTTACAGGTGGTGTTAATATCTGCTGGCGTTGCTGCAATCGTTCCAGAGTGTTTTCAGGAACGAGAACCATGCGTCTTGTATGATTCATCTTAACTAAGAAGCGAGCTCAATACTCGAAGAACGGGAGGTAGCAAAACACTTAAAAAGTTTCCTCCGTGTTGTATCAAGATTTGCTTTTTCTTGTTTAGCGGGGTACTCTTTTCAGCTAGAGCAGTCAAGGCTTTCTTGTGCTTAAGAAGTTTTCTCTTTGCCGGTTTACTAACAGGGACTGTTTCTTTAAGTACGTTGAATACACACTCACAAATGGTTTTTACTAAAGCGTCGTCGGCTGCTTTCAAAATTGCTTTACGTTGAGCTGGGGTACACTTGACGAGGAGCTTAAGAAAATCGTGGTTCTTTCTTAGTCGCTGGGCCATACTCAACTGATATCAATCACTACGACGGAGCTTTTTTATACCTTTCTGACATCGGCGAGCTGAGTCTCCCCAGGGAAAATGTTTGTGCGCAACCGGAAGTCGGTAGGTGTTTCGGGTTTGAGGTCGCATAACAGGTAGCCATAAGGGCGTTTTGTCGCATCCTGAAACGCTTCTTGCATGTATTTGACATGACCGGGAAACATCTGTGTCGCCAAGTGACTGACTTGACTGCTATCTCGCGGAGACTTGGACATCACCAAATAATGGCAATTCAAACTCATGTCTCTCAGTTCTTTTCCCCGGTGAAAAATATTTTGAAGAATGAAAATGACGCTTAAATTTCGGTGATGACAGCCCTTAGTAAACAAATTGGTAATTCTTTGATCATTGCTAAGCTCCTGCATTAAATCATCAATGACCACTAAATTCCGAATGGTTGGGTTTATCATAGATTCTTAATCACCAGGAACTCCTTCGACGAACGTGATGTTGGGAATAGTCCTTAGCATTTCATCATAAGCCGGTTGGTATATTCCATAACACCAAATGATATTTTCAGGAGCTCCGTCTATTAATTCTTCTCCAGATTCCAACAGGTGTTTGACAAAATGACTTTTTCCACAACAAGTGGGGCCAGCTACAATAGCAGGAAAGGGGTGTTTCCACCTTGGGTCCATGTTGATAACTGACTGGTTCAACTGCGTTTGCTCTCATTTATATCGAAATGGTATTTGGCGGAGTATCTTTATCATAAACTCGAACCATGTTGGTATTTTGTAATTTAGCAAACTGGAGCCAATATTTTCTCTCTAAGTCAGACAGCTCGTGTACCTGAGCCAAATGGTTTGCTAATCGAACTAAACATTTAGAGTGACATCCCGGTATTGGGCAATGACGACATACACGCTTACCCATGATGTTCACGGTACGAAGGTTCGATACCAACTGAGTAAAACCGCTAATGACACGAAGTTTATGACTATTGAGAACGGGCCACAGGGGCCACAAGGGCCTTTTATATCACTGTATTTTTCCTTTACGCGGGTGATTCAATCGCGCGTGGCGCACACACGCGCGCGCGGCTAGACAGACAACAAACCGTGTAGTATATTAAACCATATTTATTTACAAACTATGAACAAATGACATTTTTTTACACATAAAGGGAAACTCTTTATATACAATGCGATACAGAGAAAAGTCGACCCGAAGCAAAGACAGAGAAAGCCCCATCTTGACAAAGACAGAGACAAACACACACCGACTCAAAATTTTAGTCATCATGAAGAAATTTTATTACTTTTAGAAACAAAGCTTATTTTGAATGTCATTAATTATCATGTCAAGGTCCATTGGTGTTCTTCTTTTCTCACGACCCTATCAAGGCATTCTATTGTTTCTTGTTGATCACTGAAATCTTTCCATTTGAGCCCATTTGGTCGGTAGTATAGAGCGTATAAAATACGGCTTTGAAGATCATCACCCTGCTGGACAACATCAAGTTCCAGAGAAGCGAGGTAAATACTGGTCCACGACAATATTTGGCAGTACGCTTCCCATGATTTATCTAGTTTGAAGCCGGGAGCACTGCATATACTTTCGGTAGCGTTCAACATAGAATTCAGGTCAATTTGTTCCACCACTTCATCGTGGTAATACTTCCATGCGTCATCATTATCCATCATGAGGCAAGAATGTTGGTTTTGACTTGGGTGTTGAATAGCACAACCGTCGCAGTGATTCAGCTTTTCTTGTTGGATGAGTTTGTCAACCAAAGCCGCATAAGTCAGTTAGAATACATGTCCAATAAAACTGGCTATCCTTTGACGCTGGACAATGTTCCAAAGAATATTGTTGAGAGTTAAGACTTTTTTCCGAGCAAACTGAACTTTAAAGAATGAACAAATGATTGAACGGAGAGCGCGTTTGTCTGTTGAACACATAATAGATTGTTCACTATCCAATCAGGGTTAAAAGAGCCCTCTTCTTCTGAATCGTCTTGTTGTTTTTGCCACAGGTATTTCATAGGTTTGTTGATAGACAGAGAATTACAATTTTGCAAAGAAATACAACATGTTCTGGATAATTGTGAAACAACATTCCTTGACTTTTTTCGAAGTGGGAACTCAATGTCTTATAATTAATCGCTCATTTTTAAAAAAAGACAAAAGCTAAACGGCTAATTCTTAATTGCATTTTTTTTACACAATACCTGGTCTTAAGTTGAAGATTTTTGCATAATCAACCCGCGGCGTGTTTGTCCAAAGACAAGTATGGCTGAGAAATAATTCTCTTATGGTGGTCCGTTTTCCAACAAACTACAGCTACAACGGATTGCATTTCAAAAAGTATGGTGTGAGGAAATGACGGAGGAACAGATTATGAACCCCACGTTGATCAGCAGAACTGTCATTATTGGTGTACGCAATATCTACGATTATCCTGAGCCTTATTGAAAATGAACGATTTGTTCAAGCGAAGATTACAACAAAATGTGTTATTTGTATCATCTGAAAAAGGACCTACCTACGAACAAGACCTAACTTACAGAGACGATTTGGTAGACTACACATTAAGTGATGATGTAACCATTAGCCATTTCTTTAGTCATTATTATTATTTCTTGTGTACAATGATATACTCTTTGAGGTGAATAAAATAATTGCGATGAAACACTGTGTTGTGTAAATTTCTTTGCCCCTGCAAAATCGGGTCCGTTTCTGGACCTTGTAAAATTCTTTGTACAGCATACCATCGCGTGCAAACAACACTCGTTTATCTTGCTTTTTTTCCAATCGCCGTAAATGCCAAAACCATTGTTCGGTTAAGTTCTTGTTTACTTCAAAGCGGTCTTTCTGCCTTTGTGTTGTTAAGGCAGCAAATCGTTCAATATTTGATGCGTTCATGGCAAAGGGAGCCATTTTCTTGCATACTAAAACATCTTTCATGGGCACCCAACGAGAAGATAGTTCAAAACCACTTAAACATAGCATTGTTAAACGTATTTTAGTATTTAAACGGTAGATATAGGCATATTTTTATCCCCTAGAAATTTTTCATCTGTTCGGATTTCCTAGCTGAAAGTCTAGTGATCCGAAAATTATAGGGATCAAAACTTACCTTTTCGAAAATTTCAGCCACAAAAAAGGTTCACGAAAATTCTAGGTGACCTTTTAAGAGTAAAAATCCGTTAGAAATGGGCAATTATACCATTTTTTAGATGTTCGAAAATCCTAGGAGAGGCAGGCAAGCAAGAAATTTTACAAAAAATGTTGCGAAAATTCTAGATCGCAATTTGTCTTCCGAACACATATTTTCCGAAAATTGTCGTTGGGTGCCCCTGATCTTTTAGCGCGAAGTTGAATATGGCACGAAAATTATAACATGTGCTTTTGCTGACTATTACATGAAGGGGGTATTTCTAATGCTGCTCTGCGATTGGTTCAAAGTACTGAATACGAATGAGCTCCATTGTTCCCATTGTTCTCTAAATCTTAAACAAAAGAATACTGCTCTGTGATTGGTTACTAACCATATCAACCCCCTTAACTACTATTGGCTGTCACGCTAGCAGAGGGAAGAGAAGAGACATTTGACAAAACGAATTCTTACACGGTAGAAGATTCAGCGCCTACATACTTGGAGACAGATCGGAAATGTGCAGCCCAAGACACTGGTCGATACGCTAGCCGCCACTTTATCAGAGATGGACGTTAAGACAATTGGCGACACACTGGGCTGTGTGGAGACAAGGAGTCTGGTCAAAAGACTGGCTTTTAAGCTAGAGGTTTTGGCCGAGGCACTAGATCAAGCTGCTTTACTCGCTAGCAGGTGCTGAGGCCATGACACTTCAAGATACACAGGGTGGTGTGTAGACGAAAGAACTATTACACATCCTAACAGACATGCTACTGGGAGCAAGGGCTTAGACACTTCCTAACACCATGAGCGCTGTGGAGGCCAAAGCGCTTGTGGACACTTTGGCTGACACAGTAGCTGGGACAAAAGGCAGGACACCTTGCAACACTAGCGCATATAAAGGCTGAAGTACTAACAAACACACTAGCTAACACGCTAGTACAAGCCGAGTCTGACACACTCAGGCGAAAGCACTTGTCGACATGGTGGCTGACACTCTATCAGATGCAGAGGCCAAGACGCTTAACGACACACTGGTCAATGTGTAGGCCAAAGCAGTGATCGAGACGCTGGCTGATACTCTATCAGAGCTGGATGCCAAGACACTTAGAGACACACTCGCTAATGTTAATGTCGTGGTGCTGGTCAAAAGACAAGTGGCGACGCTTTGGGCGAGGTGGAGGCCAAGGCCTTGGTTGACACTCTGGACGAGACATAACAAAGCGAAACGCCCAGAGACGGCTTGACACTGGGTGATGTCGATACTCTTCCACTGAATGACACCTTGGCTCACACTCTAGCAGAGGCAAAGGCAACACGGTTGACAACTCACTGGCTGATGTAAAGGCCATGGAACTAATCGATAAGCCGGCTGTGACTCTATTACATGTGGAGCCCAGGACACTTGGGGACAAGGATGGTGATGTAAAGGCCAAGAGACTAGTAGACACTCTGGATGAAAATTTTCCAGAGGCTGAAACTGAGAGACACTGGGGCATATTGGGCGATGTAAAGGCCGAGGCACTGGCTGATCCACTGGCTTTCACGCAAGCAGAGGGGGTAGCCGAGACATTTGAAAAAACGAATTCTTACACGGAAGAAGAGAAAGTGGCTAACAGACTTGGCGACACATCGGCAATGTCTAAACCGAGACACTGCTTTATAAGCTTGCTGACACTCTTTCACAGACGGACGTTGAGGCAATTGGGAACACACACAGGAATGGGAAGTCTAAAGAACTAACCCACACGCTGACTGACACGCTAGAAAATGCGAAAACCTTGAGAATTAGCAACCAATTCACAATATGAAGGCTAAGGCAC